TCAACCGTGTCAAGCGAAAATTACGGGTACTGTGGAACAACGTAAAATTGCCGTTAGATTATTACAAGATACCTTGGGTCGCTCAAATTCTTTTTCGCCCCCCCTTGGATTCACTTTATTAAACGTCTCCGATGAGTACGAGTCACGTTATATTGGCACTGATTTTAAAGCCATCTCGTTTGAAAAGGTTCTCATTGATCACCAAACCAACGATTCGATTCCCTATAAAAATTATACTCTTGTAATTAATAACTTATCAACTTGCCCTTCTACTCCTTCTACTTCAGCTACTCCTATATTTTCTTCTAATAAACGTGAAACCCATCTTAATTGCAAGAATTGTAATTCATCAGAATTTTCAATCAATAATTTATCAGGCAAAATTTATAAATTCACCACCATCCAATTGTTAGAAATTTGTTTAAGCAAAGTTTTAAATGCCACGTCTTGTGAACAACAAGTTTCGGATGAGGAATTTCGATTAAAAGTTTGCTTTGGAAAAGTTTTTTTTAATAAACTTGATAAAACTGCTCTTTCTTTATGCGAGTGGAATGGATTACAGAGAGGTCATAAAGGAATCACTACGTCATTCTGTCATGATGTTGGATCTTTTGAGGATGCATTTAAAATTGAAAGGTTAAATAATGCATTCGGGTTTCGCCGAGCTGATCTCGTAGAAGAAAATGTCATAACAATTTCATTTACTGAAAGTAATGAAAAAAAAAAACTGAAATTATATTATGACCAATCATTAGGTAAGCTTTTTTTAAATTCATTTAAAGAGTTGAGAATTTACCGAATTTTCCCATTAATTAAACCGAGATAAACTAATTATTCACAGATTCTTGGAAGATTAAAAAGGTTACGAAAAATTTTCAACGACACGCAATTATAGATATCATTTCGGGAAATGAAACCTCCAATTTACGTTTTATTATCAAGTCCCAAGTTATGATTCCAATAAGCAACAAATATAGCATGATCATTGATAATCTACAGAAATCAAACAGATTCCTTGGAAGAATGTACTTGATGAGTGGGAAAGTACCATTACAACTCGATTGTTTCAAAATGTTCATCCGACAAGACGATTTTGCTTTAAATAATAATTTCAAATGTACGAGAGTTAGACAATCAATTATCAAAAAACGATTTATGTAAGTATTTTATAAATTCTCGTTTATGTTCCTTTGGAATTAAAGTTGAATTATATCTCATCAATTCTCAAAATTTAATTTAGAAATGAAAGTTATCAACTTAATTTCATATCGACTTTACAAGATGAAGAAGGAAGAGTATCTTCGGAGGATACTATAAATTTAATTCATAAGTCTTGGATTCCACCGTCATCGTCGGAACGCAGTTCTGTCAGCGAAACTATAAATTTCGCGAGAAAGTTAACTGGAATGATCTGACGAAGATCGAAATATATTTCTTTTAAAAAAAAAAAAAAATCATATGTCGTTTTCATTAAATATTTTTTAATTTCTATTTATCTTGGGGATAGTTGAATAGCTAAAAAAAAAAAAAAAAAAAAAAATTTAAACCTTTATTTATTTTATTTATTAGTTGATATTTAATATATTAGTTGAAATTTAGAACATTTTCACCACGTCTATTGATTTTTTAAATTGATGTACATAATTAATTACTTTAATGTTTCGTGCATCTTTTACTAAATAGAAGTTTGATTTGTTTGTGTTTCACTACATAAAGATTATTGTCATTTACAAATGTTAAAAATATTTGTCTAAAAATTGTTTTTGTTTTATAAAAAAAAAATCCTAAAATTTTGAATGTGCAAAAATTAAATTCTAAACTTTTTTCATTCAATTCAAATCCACTAAATCCCGTATTGCAACAACTCGCGTTTGAGAAAATTCTTCTGCTTCTCGTATCGAGGACTCAATGGGGTTATTCACAACCAAAATATCGTATTTTTATAAAATTTATTTATAAAAAAAAATAAATTTTCTTTCTTGAATAATTCATAATAACATGAATTCTTCAACTATAATTTATGCAAATATAATTTGCATACAAAGCGTCACAACGCTTACTGTCGGTTATGATGTGTTTGATCACCGAATCAATATTTTTTTGTATTTTTATCTTAATTTTTAATATCGTGTTTATTTTCATTTTGTTGTGATATCAAATCGTTTCTGTAAAATGAACGATAGGATAAGTAGTTGAGCAATACAACTACTTACGTTACAATACATTTGTTCTCGTCTTTGTCACATTTATTTCCCGGATAATAAATTAAAATTTTTATCATTTCCAAATTTGTTTTTCTCTTTGCCAACAAAATTTGCTTGTAATAAATTTAAATTTATCAATAAAAAATCTCATTTTATTACCATATAATTATAAAAACCTTTTTTTAACTTATTTTTCAAAAATGTTAAAAGGATTGATGTTGAAAAAAGGTGATCACTTTGACGACTCCTAATCACTTATTATATTATGTTTGAAAGTTGTCGAATGGTGTATAATGGATGCATTATAAACGTATTATTAGAAGTAGCCTTTGTTATTAGTTATTCTAATTAGTTATAATAATTATAATAGATATAAAGTCATATTAGTATTAGCTATATTATCTTTATAATCTTTTTATTATAGTATATTTTTTATTTCAGGCCATGTTTATAAATATATTCTTACTCTCATTTGGGCGCTTTTGCAGTAGAAAGGTATGAAATTCTAAAAAAAAAAAAAATCATATTTACAGAGCGCCCAAATTCTCTCTAATAATAGAATCACTATATTGATATAATATTCTGACAGAAATTAACTAACAAAATTGAATGGTTTGATATGAATGTACTAAGGCAAATTATAACGCCCAGAGTCCCAAAGCACATTTTCTAATCGAGGATTTAGATAAAGATAAATCCAATGAACCTACAACAGCAGAATTAAAATTTTTAAGTCAAATCCAAAAAATTTATATAATGCAAATGCATATATACATGTACAAGCTCTCACCATAACATCATTATGAACCACGAAATCCCACGTTCTGCTAAAACAATTCTCAGATGCACTTTTATTACCACAAGTCTTCCTTAGTTCAAAAATTAGTCTTGTAATTTCGGAAATATCAGGATTATTTACTATTCATTTTGTGTCAGAGCAATTACTAAGTGAACGAATAATAATAATAATAATAAATTTATTTGATTATAATGAAAGAATTAAAGCTAATAAATTATTTGCAACTTACTACTTTTGGTAACGCTATAACTTGGTGTAATTTAATTTTCAATTATTCAATAAATCTCTGATTTTGTGCTTGCCAGCTGGAATTCCATGTTTCTTCATTCTTCTTCGATAACACAAAATATGACATTTCCTCATCACCAAGTTCAGTTCTATTCCTCGAATTTTATTTGTTCACGTGAATTAAGTGTATAATTAAAAAAAAATTAATATAGCAGGACTATATCTTCCTAAATTACCAGTATTGGGTTATCTTTGCCATCGGTGTCATGAATCTTGTTGCTAAACCAATCCTCCTTAACATTACCCAAATGCTAATTGTTCTTCATCATAAGTTAGTATGAATTTTACTTTCATTACATCCTCGAATCTTAAAGCCTCGGCCAATCCACAAATTATAACTAAATTTAACCATTACCACAAAGAATATTTCTTTTGCCTGTTAAATAACCGTTCTGCAAATCTTTCCAGTAACTATAACATCCTAAGATGATAAGAATTCGCTGTAGAAGGAAGTGATGAAGTAACAAATAGAAACAGATCGATGCTTCTGTTATTCATACATCATGTAATTTTGGGTATTGAATGCAAGAGTTATAGTCACACGTGTTTCGAAATACCGGAATGCTAGCATTAATAGATAGCAATTGACACGAAATCATAATTAAGAAGAATTGTGGTGTATTAATTTCAGCCATCCAAGTAGCCAATTTCCGGAAATGCCAATATCTTCGCTTACTGGAACATGTAATTTGTATTACGCGAAGCGGAACCGGAATTTTCTGGTGCTTCGCCGGTCAATACACTCTAAAACTTAATTACTCGAACTATGTAGTACAATAACCAATAGGTAGATATTTTAACGATCCGGTGGATAAGCGGATCTGCATAAAAATTATTTAAAATCTTTTATCATCTTTAGGAGAATTGTAATAAATCAATTGAATTAACTAACCTATTACGCTTGTGTAATTGATACTTACAATAACCCATTTCCGTGATTTCATCCATGCTAAGCATCAATGAGAAACTCATCTCTGGACTCTTAACTTGTACAAAAAATTGGTGAGCATTTTCAAAACCTTAATTTTTCTTTCATCATGATCATCTTTTTGATGAATTCCGTGAAACTTGATTAATTTAATATCTCGTTCAGATAATGCATCTATTGAAGCGTCTTCTAAACCTCCTGCAATTGACCCTCTTAAATAAAATTTGATTTTTATTTAACATTTTCCAGAAATTATTACAGAATGCCAGAATTTCCAATATCAGCTTATGCATCTGACCTAATTAATCATTGAGCTGGTTTAACAAATAAT